GTGAACAACAGTTGAAACTCAATACTAAAGAAACAAACAATCCCTTTAGAAAATGGGCAAAAGACATAAACAGACAGTTCCCCAAAGAGGATAGAGAGATGGCAAATAAGTACATGAAAGGGTGTTCAACATCATTAGTCACTGGGGAAATATAAATTAAAACCACAATGCAATGTCCCTACACACTTACTAGAATGGCTAAAATAAAAAATGTGGAGAAAGGGGAACCCTCCTACACTGTTGGTGGGAATGTAAACTAGTTCAACCATTGTGAAAAGCAGTATGGAGGTTCCTCAAAAAAATCAAAATAGAAGTACCATTTGACCCAGGAACTCCACTCCTAGGAATTTACCCTAAGAACACAGCAGCCCAGTTTGAAAAAGACAAATGCACCCCTATGTTTATCACAGCACTATTCACAATAGCCAAGAAATGGAAGCAACCTAAGTGTCCATCAGTAGATGAATGGATAAAGAAGATGTGGTACATATACACAATAGAATATTATTCAGCCATAAGAAGAAAACAAATCCTACCATTTTGCAACAACATGGATGGAGCTAGAGGGTATTATGCTCAGTGAAATATGCCAGGTAGAGAAAGACAAGTATCAAATGATTTCACTCATCTGTGGAGTATAAAAACAAAGGAATAACTGAAGAAACAAAACAGCAGCAGAATCACAGAACCCAAGATTGGACTAACAGTTACCAAAGGGGAAAGGCCTGGGGAGGATGGGTGGGAAGGGAGGGAAAAGGGGTGGGGGAAGAAAAGAGGCATTATAATTAGCATGTATAATGTGGGGGGGCGCATGGTGAGGGCTGTACAACACAAAGAAGACAAGTAGCGATTCTACAACATCTTACTGATGGACAATGACTGCAATGACGAATGTGGGGGGAACTTGGTGATGGGGGGAATCTAGTAACCATAATGTTTCTCATGTAATTGTAGAGTAATGATACCAAAAAAAAATAGTGACAACACCAATGCTAGTGAGGATGCAGAGAAACAGGTTTACTCGTACACTGCTCATGGGAGCACAAAATGGTACAACCACTGTGGAAAATAGTTCGGCAATTTCTTAAATAACTAAATATGCAGCAATCCAGCAACTGCACTCCTAAGCATTTATCCCAGAGAAACGAAGATTTATGTTTACACAGAAATCTGTATGCAGTTTATAGCAGCTTTATTCATAATAACCAACTAGAAAAAAACCCATGTCTTTCAATGGGGTGAATAGTTATATCCACCCCATATTTCTCTATATATGTATCTCCACGGAATACATTTCAGAAATAAATAAAATAAACTATAGATACATATAACAACCTGAATGAATCTCCAGAGGATTCTGCTGAGTGAAAGAGCCAATCCCAAAAGGTAACATGCTATATAATTCCATTCATAGAACATTCTTAAATGACAAATTATAGAAATAGAGAGCAGATTAGTGATTGCCAAGCATTACGTGGGGGAAGGGCCTTAGCTGGAAGTGGGTGTGGCTAGAAAAGGACAGTATCAATATGGTTCTGGAAATGTTCTGTATCTTGATGGTATCAATGCCAATATTCTGGTTGTGATATTGTACTATAGCTTCCCAGGTTGTTACCATTGGGATGTCCTGGGTAAAAGGTACTCAAGAACTCTCTGTATTATGTCTTACAATTATCTCAAAATAAAAGGTTTAATTAAAAAAATCACCAGAATAAAAATGTTAGCTTTCATAACCTCAAAACAAACAAAAAGAATGAAGAAGTTCCGCATAAATATATGCCTAGAAGGATGTCAAAGCATATGTTGTTAGGTAGAAAGAGTAAGCTATTTATGCAATCTAATCCAATTTTAATTTAAAAATTCAGTGTATGTGCATAGGTTTGCATGAGCAAAGAAAAAAGCATGGAGGAATCCACACCAAACTGTTTACAGCGGTATTAGAAGGGTGAGCAAGGGAAAAGGGAGCTGCTGAATCTGTATAATTTTTGTGCTTCAAATAACTAGCTCAAAATGCAAAGAGTACCTTAACAAACTTTAAAAATGTATGTATATTTTCCATTTCATTAAAAAGTATTGGTAAATATCATTTTTGGCACCAACCTAATATTCCATCACATTAACATACTCTACTACACGGCCATTAATTTTTTGTCTAACATTGTATCCTATTCACAACACTATTATTTTTATACCTACATCTTGGTTTGCATTTTTAAACTACTGTTTTAAGGATAAAGTTTGAGAAATGCAGTGAAGGATATGAACTTTTAAAAATAGTTGGTATACACTGCGAGATTTCTTCCAGAAAGGTTCCATCCATTTACAATTAATCTAGTTCATGCAACCATGTGCCTTTTTCAATAGCACCCCTGCCAACACTGAGTAGTATTATTTTAAACTTTTTTTTTCTAATTTGATAGTTGAAAAACATATTATGGTTGTTTTAATTTGCATTTCTTTGATTCCCAGTGAGACTGAAACAATGTGCTCCTTTCTAAAAATTCTTGTCTTTTGTGTCAATGCTTTTGTTCTGTTTCTCTGATTTGATTTTCCTCCAGGAACAGCTCGCTGCCCAACATCTCAGTTCCTGACAGTGGCAGTGTCTCTCTCCTGACTCACCAGTTTTTGAACCACAGAGTCAATTATATTTCTCTACTTAATCCCTTGTTTCCCATTGGTCACCCAGTGTTTTTCTATTTCATAGTCTTTGTTCCCATGGAAATGCCACCACCATTAGCTAAGGCCACGTGCCTCTCACCTGGATTATAGTGAAAGCTTGCTGGCAAGTCTCTGCTTTGATTTCCCTTCCACCTGCTGCAGACTTTCAGAGCAATGTGACTGCATGTCACTGCCTAGTCCATGAGACCATGAGACTAAGCCGAGAGGTCTCTGCTGGACATTCATCCCCTCGGCATCACTTCCCACAGCTTCCCAACTGGAAAACCCTATGCCAGGTGGTTTCCATGCTGCTCAGATGTGATGGTTATCTGTGCTGCTTTCCTGGAGCCTTCCCCTTTCCTGGATGTCCTCGCTGCTTCCCTTTCCTCTAGTCCACTGCCTATACCTCCTTTAGACTTGGTGCACTCCTGCTTTCCCGCCATGAATTTATCCCCCATACCCTTAGACCTTTCACACCACCTTGTAATTGCTTTTCCGAAGTATGGGCCAGCCTGGGCAAATGGGCCCAGAAAGGGAAAAGGGAAGCAACGAGGAGGAATGATTCTAAGGAAACATGGTACATTTCACTTTGAACCAATGAGTGTTGGGTGATGACAGGATATTCAGATAGAGTTATCCCTTGGGCCACTGGGAATGTGGGTCCAGAAGTGAGGGGACAGGTTGGGGCTAGAAATATCAATTTGGGAGTCATTTGCAGAGCTGACAGGGGATGAGGAGGAATTTAGAATGTCTATAGAAATGGGGAAGAGGGTCCAAGGCAGAGTCCGGGGGAACACCTAAATGTGAATGTCAGAACAACAGCCCACGATGAAGAAAAGGGGATGGTGCTTAGATACAGAGTGAATCAGAGGAGGTGAAAAAGGGCAGAAGCAGAGGAGGCTAATCTTTCAAGAAGTTTGATAAATTGTGTAAGGAATGTAGTAGGGTTTCAGAAAAATGGGGAACTAAACCAATGTGTAGATCCAGGGGAAAGAGCCAGTTGGGTAGGAACCAAAGGGACTGATAAAGGGGAGGTGGGTGAGTGCTGGCGTGCCGGGGGGAGCGTGTCCAGGACTACAGGATTTCCGGAAAGGTCCCTGAAGATGATGACAGTGAGCGGTGGGGGAGGGGACTGTGAGGTCTGGAAGGGGAGAGAAGGGGGAATGCCTGGCCAATATGGCATCCAGTCTCCTACACTGAGACAGATAGTGAGAGGGCGTATGGTAGCTCAGGAAGGCAGAGGTAGTGCCCAGGGGGTTGAGGGTAGGGGTTTTATCTCAGCCACCTTCACCCCATCCCTCATTCTAAGTAGAAAACTGTGTTTGCTATGCAATGTTAGCTTCTGAAGTTCTCCTCTTCAGGAATTCTGAAGCAGCTGCTACATACACCCAGAACACGGGTAGCTAAAAGAGAACTTCTTCTTGGAGATGGTTGTAAGATAAATGAGAGGCTGGAGGGGACCACATGTCCATGTCTGAAGAACTTTCCAGAGGCAGTTCTCAGAGTGTATCCAACAGGCCTGAATTGAATTCTGGCTCCACCACTTAGAAGTCAAAATTCGAAAGGTAGACAACGTTGTATAGGGAAAAGCTCCCCCTCCCATACCTGTCTCATGGGTATTCATTTCCTTTCCCAGAGGCAAACAAGGTTACCATTTTCCTATGTTTACTTCTAGAAATAACTGTTCATATTCAAGGCAAATAGACAGAAAAATAGATTTCCCTCTTCTTCTTAAAGAAATGGTAGCTGGTTAATATCTTGCTTTGTTCAGTTAATGGTGTTTCTTAGGCATTATTCCATCTCAGAGTATTAAGGGTTTCCTTGTTCCACTGAACAGCACTGTAATTTACTTAACCTATCTTCTTGCGGTTAACCTGATGTTTGGTTTTGTATGTGCATTTGTGATTCTAGTACCTATTACAAATTACCTTCCAAAGAAAGTGTACTGGTTTATGTTCCTGCCGACAATGTGTAAGTAAGAGTTTGGGCAACTAGTTAATCTCTCTGAGCCTCAGTTTTCTTATCTGCAAAATAAGCAAAGCAGTGCTGATTTCTCGGAATTGTGAAGATGACCTGAGACGATGCGTATGAAGTATTTGGCATGTAGGAGTTGGTGATCTGTAAATAAGGATATTGTTTTCTTTTGGATTAGTGAGGTAGGGTCCTAGCTAGGTACATGAATGCAATGGAATCTCATTACTGGTCTAGGTTCTCTGATTAGGGCGAGGAACAAATTCTGCAAGAGATTAGCAACTCAGATCAGAAGAGTGTGGGCACTGCTCTCGCTGGGGCTGCCATGTCTCCAGGGTACCCCAACTCCCCCATATGGCTTCTACTCCCAGGTCCCTCCAAGCTGAAAACTCGAGTTGACACAAAAAAAATCCTGTGGGACCAGGGATCATTTCCTCTGCTCATCAGAGACCTTGAAATAACAGACTCAGGGACTTACATCTGTGAAGTGGAAGACAGAAAGATCGAGGTGGAATTGCTGGTGTTCAAATGTGAGTGGGGTGGGCCTGGCATGAAGATACCGCCAGCGAACCTCCCTTTGTTCCAGCTCCCATCCCCACCCCAAAACCAGGGCCTGAGCTGGTCCAGACTCAGACCAGACTGGCCACCATGTCTCCTCACACCCTCCTCAGGCCCTGCAGGGGGAGGGGAAGGGCTGGAAGGAGGGAGAGAGACCGGGAGGAGAGGAGGGGGAGGAGGAGGGGAATGGAGCCCTGCCTGGGGCAGGGTCGGAGTAATGGAGAGATGCTCTTGGTTCCCAGCTTCTTCCCTTCTCCTTGGGGATGATGTGTGTGTGACATAGGTGACCTGGTCCCTCCACAGTGACCACCAGCCCGAACACTGGCAGCAACATCCGCCTGCTGGCAGGGCAGAGCCTGACCCTGACCCTGGAGACCCCGTCTGGTAGTAACCCTTCAGTGCAATGGAAAGGCCCATGGAATAAAAGCAAAATGGGGATCAAGAGCCTCTCATTGTCCCAGCTGGGGCTGCAGGAGAGTGGCACCTGGACGTGCACCGTCTCCCAGAACCAGAAGACACTGGTGTTCAAAGTAAACATCTTGGTGCTGGGTAAGAGGAGCTCCTCCCCCTGCAGTATCCCCCAGCCTCAGTGGCCACAGACCTTCTCTGATGTCACTGCTCTGCCCCAGGGCTGGTGCTTGGGTTTGGGGGAGGCTCGGACCAGCCCCTTGAGAGTTGAAGCCCATCCTGAGGGGTACACTGGGCCCTCTCTTCCTCAGGGTGCTGGGCATGGAGGAAGGAAGGGACAGGGGATGTAAGGATGTAGGGGGCTCCACAGGAGCAATGTCCAGGGCGTCTATTTTCTTTGTTGCCTCAGTTCCCCATTCCCACCAAGCTGGCGTCTCCACTGACTCAGGGAGTCTAACACCAGCAAGTCAGCCACAGTGAAATTCCCCATTGCACCTCTAGAAGCCTGAACTAGGACCTGGGAGGAACCAATAGCCCAGAATGCAGGACCTACTCCCACCCTCACCCCATCCTGTCCTCCAGTGCTTATGTGACACAAGGTAGGGTAGTGTGGTGGTTAGTACATGGACCAGATTTACATCCTGGCTCTGACCTAACCACACAATCTTGAGCAAGTTACTGAACCTCTGTGCCTCGGTTTCTGCATCTGTAATATGATGCTCATGGTGATAGTATCTACCTTGTAGGGTTTTAGTGAGAATTAATGCATATAAGACATTTAGAATGGTGCCTGGCACATAGGGAGCCCAATGTAAGTATTTGCTCCTATCTTGGGAAGGGTGATAAATTATGCAACTAAATAGTGCTGGCCAAATGCCCGCTGCTCCAGGGACCCTGAGGAAGGCGAGGGCCCCTGTGACTGGGCTTTCCCGGGGGGATTTTCAGAGGAGCCATGAGAACATGTTGGAAAGACTACAGAGGTTTGGAGAAGATAGGAATTTAGGGGCCTGAGATGGCAGCCTAGGTGTTTGGACTCAGCTGGTCCCCCCACCTCTGCCACGCCCACCGCATGCCTACCCCACCCTGTACATCTTCTTCCCACCTTCTTCCGACCCAGGTTCTCCCCCTTCCCACATCCTTCCAACCAGGTTCTCTCCCTTCCCACCTTCAGCATTTTGGAAGCATTCTACTGCGGTCTATACAAAAGAGGGGGAGCCGGCAGCCTTCTCCTTCCCACTTACCTTCGAAGATGAGAGCCTGAGAGGGGAGCTGAGGTGGCAGGCGGTGGGGGATTCCAGCCCTCAGTCCTGGGTCACCTTCTCCTTGGAGAACAAGAAGGTGTCTGTGAAAAAGGTTCTCCCAGACCTCAAGCTCCAGATTGGGGAGGCACTCCCACTCCGCCTCACTCTGCCCCAGGCTTCACATCACCATGCTGGTTCTGGAAACCTGACCCTGGTTCTCTCCCAGGGCCAGTTGCACCAGGAAGTGAACCTCGTGGTGATGAAAGGTGAGGAGCTGGGCTGGGGGGTGTGCAGGGGCAAGTGGTGGAGGGGCCTGACCCAAGGCTCCCTGCAAGCAGGACAGGCCCCAGGAGGGATGCCTAGGCCCTGACTGCCTGGTGGGGCTGATCGAGGGCTCTCTGGTCTGGGGACTGATTTTGAACTGAGACTGGAATCCACTTGTCTTTCCCTAACATCCATGAGCCAGCCTAGGGCTCCTCTGAGAACCTCAGGAGGGCACCCACTGAGAATCAGAGCTCTGGTTCTGCCTGGGTCCACCCTTATGGGACCCAGCTAAGCCCCCATACTGTGGGTCTGCTTTCTCCTAACGGGATGACAAAATCCGCACTTCATAGGATGGTGATGATGGTGTCAGGTGCTGCATTGAGTTCTTTACTTATCTTCTCAATCATCAGAGCAACTCCCCAAATAATAATGGCTAATTCTTGATGCTTACTTAGCACATGCCAGGCCCCATTCAAGAGCTTTACATGTATTTGTGCATTTAGTTATTCTCTGGGGCTCAGGCTGTCAAGTAATTTACAGAACACAATGTAAGCAGTGGGGCTGGGATTCAAATCCAAGACTGTCAGACCTCAAAAGCTGCACTTTCTCTATTATAACCACATGAAAATGTGCTCTGAAAGGCTCAAAGAAGGACATGCACATAAAGCATCATTTTGATTGCCCTACTTAATGCCCTTAGAGCATTGAGTTGCAGGGAACCCAGAGGTCCAGGCTCCCAGCCTCAGGCTCTTGTCTCTCTGCAGTGACTAAGTCCCAGGACATTTTGGCCTGTGAGGTGCTGGGACCCACCTCCCCTGAGCTGACGCTTAGCTTGAGCCTGGAGAACCAGACTGCCAACGTCACCAATCAGCAGAAGCTGGTGCAGGTGTCCAACCCTGAGGTGGGGGCATGGCAGTGCGTACTGAGTGACAAGGACAAAGTCCTGCTGAAATCCCAGGTCAAGGGTGAGTGAGGATCCTGGTTCCATGGCCTAGCCCCAAGTCCTGCCTCCTCAGCTCTCCCGGGGTTGGCAGAGAGCACCCAGAGTCTGCTCCCCTACACCACCACCATTCCTGAGAAGGGAGGGTATCTGCATGGTGCATCGACAGTCAGGGGTGATGAGGTGAGGTGGGAAGTGCTTCCCACCTACAGTCCCACAAGTTCCCAGCTCCCTGAGGTCTACAACCCAGGAATTGGGTGGGTCTGGCCAAGAGACCCCGACCCTGGCCCCTCTCCAGACAGGTGTGCACGCATGCACACACAGGGCACAGCAGCCTGGAGTGCTGTCTCTAGCTCCCCAGAGAGCCCTGTGGACTCAAAACCTTAAAACCCCTTCCCTAGCCTTTCCCCTCTAGTCCCTGTGGTCTGTGAGGGCCCTGCCCACCCTGCCCCTCTCCCAGCCCACGGGTCAGACCCAGATGTGGCTGGGCAGCGAGGCCTGAGCTGTCCCTGATGGAGGGTGGTGAGGCTGAACACACCTCTTTCTGTCAGTTTCATCCACAGCGCTCACCAGGGTCTCACTGAAGCTCCTGGCTACAGTGCTGGGTGGGATCACAGGCCTGCTTTTCACTGGGTTCTTCATCTTCTGCTGTGTTAAGTGCTGGCACCGCAGGGTGAGTGAGCCTCCCCAGACTCCCCTCGGCCCCTATAAGGCACTGGAGCACCCTGCATGGAGTCTGTACACCGGGGTGCCCTGTATATGTGACCTGCTCCTGTTGTGGCTCCTCTGCCCACCGCGGAGCTCCCTCACTGCAGGCTGGGCTCTGCCCCCATCCCACATGGAAGGAGGGAGAGGAAGGAGCAGAGTTCATTCTGGGACCCATGGCTGCAGCCACAGGACTGCTTCTCCTCTCCCAGCCTTCCCCACTCCCCCCTCCAAGGGGAACTTCCCTTCTGGAGGCCTGGGACCCTCATGATTCCCTTCCTTCTTCCTGACAGCGCCAGGCAGAGCGGGTGTCTCAGATCAAGAGACTCCTCAGTGAGAAGAAGACCTGCCAGTGTCCCCAGTAAGGAACTGGGGGAGCCAGGGAAGGGGTGAGAGGAAGAGAGAGGAGGAATTAGGCAAGGGGGCCAAGACAGGGAAGGGAGGAGGGGTGGAGGTGAGGAGACAGGGCTAATGGAGGTGGGGAGAAGAGCAGGGTGAGAAGGAATGGCAGAGGAGGTGGGAAGCAGGCAGAGAGAGGAGGCAGAAGGAAGAAGCAGCTGGCCTGTGATATTCCTGCATGTGGCACAGCAGCTGTGGCCCAGAGGCCATCACTGCACTGGAAGAGAAAAGTGGGGCGGCAGAGCCATGGAGAATGCACAGGAGCTGGGGAGGAACAGACCTGCTTCTTTTCTCTTTCTCCAGCCGCTTCCAGAAAACATGTAGTCTCATTTGAGGCACCAGGCAGGGAGCTTTCCACTTGCAGCCTCCCAGCGGTCTTCCCTGCAGTTTCGTTGGGCTCCTGGGCGTGCGGACCAGATGAATGTAGCAGATCCCAGCGCCTCCGGCCATCTCCTGCTTTCCTGTCCACAGCTGGCTGTTGGTCCTCCTCTTCCAGAGGCTCCCTCATACCACTTCCTCCCCATTTCTTTTTCACCCAAGCCCCAGCCCTTATTTCTTCTCAGCTTTTCCCCTTGCTGCCCTCTTGGCTCCAGGGGAGCCACAGGACCATCCCCGCTTGGCCTGGGGGGTGAAGCTGGGTGTCTAAAGTACAGGACTGCCATTGTATGGGAGAGGAACTGGAGCCAGAGAGGGCAGGGACTACCCCAAGATCACACAGCCAGTCAAGGACAGATCCAGACCCAAAGCCTCCTGACTGCCAGTCCCCAGTGCTCCATTCTATCTGCTTCTCCTGTTGGCAGGGCTGCAGGCTCACATCCTGACCTGTGCACACAGGCACCCCTGGACACACGCCCACATACACAGCCCACACTTGTGCAGACAGTTCCTTATCACCCCAGCAGCATGCCTCAATTTATAAACCAGTTTCACATTCTTTGTCTATTTTTTTGAACCTTATGAAAATCCTACAAGGCTGGTAGTAACAGGACCAAAATTAGAATCTCCACTTTATAGACCAGAAACAGAACTCAGGGAGGTCGGATGATTCTCAAGACCATGCAGCTAGTAAATGCTGGAGTCAGGACTAGCCCAGGTCTCTTGACCCTTAGTTCCACTGTTGTTTCTGGAACACGGGGACAATGTCACACAGTCCTCTGTGGCTGGTTAGTCATCAATGCCCACTACGTACCTCTGGATTCATAGAAGCACACCACCACAGGGAAGGCCTGCCTCAAAGAGTTCAGGAACATGAAGGGAGGCCTCCCTACCTGAAATCTCTCCTTCACCACTGCTGGCAGCAGAATCCTGTTACCAGAGGACAGAGCCTTCAGTTCCCCTAATCAGAGCACAGGACCTGCGGGAGAGAGTGCCCAGGGACCAGCCACTCACCTTGTTGCAGAACCTTCTGGAAGGTGAGCTTTGCCAGGGGTGAACCCTCTGAGGGGACCTCCTGTGAAAGGTGATAGCCCTGGGCTTCCGTGTCCCTGCCCTGCCCTCTCCTTCATCCCACACAAACCATTCAGGAACAGGAAGCTGGGGTTATAGTAGTCTTTTGCGTCTGGATCGGCTTCTCTCATCCCCAGACTCCTCTGCCTCTTCTTCCTGTGCTTTCTCACCACCTTCTTCAGTCCCTACCCTCTTTCCCTTTTCCTTTCCAGCTTGCCTCTTCCAGGGAGAACACCCAATTGCTGACAGGGCTCCCCATGGCTTGCTTTGTATTTCTGCCCATTCCCTACCCTGCCCCCTGAGCTGACAGAAAAATACAATGAACTTACTATAAAGAAGATGCTCTTCCTCATTTGTGTGTGTGTGTGTGCGCGCGCGCGCGTGCGCGCACTAAGAGAGAAAGAGGGAGAAGTGGACTCTTCTCTGGGGACCCGGAATCTTCTGGTCCTTGGGGTCTGACCCAGAGAGGTTGCCAGCTAGTCCCGGGAAAGAAAGGAAGTTTCCCTGAGGAGGGAAAAAGTCTTTGGAGGCTGGTTACCCACCTACCCACCCCAAAGGGCCCTCCCTGTGTGTGCCTGTGGGAGGCTGACTAATCACAGGCGTTTGATCCACTGAGGGAGGGAGACTAGCGGCTGTGTGTGCTCTACACGTGTGTGTGTGCGTGTGTGTGTGCGTGTGTGTGTGTTGGGGAAAAGGGACTATGAGAAACTGCAGTGTGTGCGTGGCAGTTGTGTGCATCCCACAGAAGTGTGTTTGTGTTTCAGGGGGTGGTCGCCGTCTGTGAGGGGGGATTCTTTCAGACCCGAGTCCCCGACCCCGAGGCAGCCCCGGCTCCGGCACGACCGCCCCTCACTGGCAGCTCCAGCGCTGCCCCTCCGAGCTGCGCCCCAGGCTCTCACGGACACGCACAGTGACACATGCTTCCTCCTCCCCGAACAGCTCGCTCCTCGCTCCCGAAAACACCAGCTGCCTCTCGGAGCTTGTGTTCGTGGAGAGACACGGGTTGGGGTGGGGTGGGGGCAGGACACGAATCTCTCGCCGTGAGCCGCCCCCCTCCGCTCGCCCCCTCCGCCGCGGCGCCGGCCTCGCCCCTCCCCCTCCAAGGCGCCGTCGTCCCGCTGCCCGCCCCGCGCCCGTCCGCTCGCCCAGCCTGCGGTGCCCCCGCCCGGCTCCGGCGGGACTCCGGGACTGGGGAGCCTGAGCGCCCCGGGGGCAGGGCGGGGGGAGCCTCGGGCTGCGCCCGAGAGGCAGGGCCGAGGCGGGAGGGCGCCCGCGGGAGGAGGGGAGTAGGAGAGCGGGCGGGCGCCGGCGGCGGGCGGCGGGAGCCGCGGCGCGCGCGCTTCCCTGGCGGTGCTGGGAGCTGCCCGAGGTAAGACGACCCCCGCCCGGTCCCCCGCGGTCCCCTCCCTCTTGCCCCCGGCCGCCTCCTCTCCCCTCGGGCTGGCCCCTCCTCCCCAGCCACCTGCTGTTTCTGCCCCGGAGAACACGGTGGGAGGCAGGAGGGAGGAGCCGCCCGACCGTACCCCTTCGCCCCGAAGGCCCAGGGACCCCCATCTGCCACGGAGTCCCCCAGATCTCCTCCCACCTGCCTCCGATCTTTCTCTGTCCTTCACCCCCTTCCCTCTGTCCTTCACATGCTTCCAGCCTCCCTCCCTCTCTGAGTCCCGTTCTCTTCCCTCCGGAGTCCACCCGCTGAGCCTGGGGATCGGTGGGTGGGAAGTGGTCCAGGGCTGTCGGGAGGGTAGGGGGGGTGCTTCTGACCAATTCCCTCCACCTCCCTCTGGCCGGCCATTGCCATGGCAACTAGGGTGTACTGGGCTCCGGAGGGAAGACAAAGGTGGGGGGTGGACTACACCTCAGGAAGGGCAAGGGTCTGAGATTCTTCGACAGGAAATAGCCCCTCAGACCGCTGTGCCCCATTTTTAACCCCGTTTACCCCAAAGCCATTATGCCCATCCTTCCTGCCTCTACTCTGTTCAGGGTTTCACCGGATTTCCTCTTATCCCCCTCCGCGGGCTCACTGAAGCTCAGCCACCCGAAATTCAGGACTACCCTCCTTCCCATCAGAGGGAAACTGAGGCTCAGTATAAGGGAAGAATCGAGGGCTACCAGTGGGAATCAGCGCCTTATTGAACACTGGGCTCTTCTTCTCAGCTTCCCTATTCCCAGCTTTCTCCGTGCAACCCCTCCTCCCTCCGAAACCTCCTCTCTAGGGGTCTCTGGGCTTCTTCTATTTTCAGATACTACCACTTTGCCCCCTCCTTCTTTCTCTTCTTATCAAACTCTCCTCCTTCCCCCCAGTTCCCATCTTTCCATTTCTGGATGTTTCTGATGTCAGTGGTTTCCCCGCCTTCGGGTTCCCTAGCCCGCCCCCTACCTTGGTCCCAGTCTCCTTTCCCCCATCTTCCCAGATCCCTGGTGAGGTGGAGGGTGACCATGTATGCATGGGGCAATGCGGCTGAGCACCAAGACCACCAGACCCAGGAGCCTGGAAGGTTGGGGAGGGGCTGCAATACCATATCCCAGTCAACCAGAAACCCTCAAGAAGAAACTGATGCATCTGCCATCAGTAACTCTGAAGAGAGATCCACATAAGGGCTGAATAGCACTCAGCAGGGGAGACCAGGAGCACCAGAGGGAGGAAAGAGGGCTAAAAAAGGAAGAGGGATAATCTCTTCTTTCCTGGAGATGTGGAAAGCAGGGCTCTTATTTGTGTGGGCTGTTTGAGTAGCCATCTGATTCAAGGCAAGAGACTGTTCTGAATGACCCCATGATCCCTAGTAATCAGTCATTTCTGTAGTTTCAGGAGAAAGGGGGCACAAGGAGCCAGTTGGAGAACAGCCTAGGCCCTCCTTTCGCCTTCTGCTTCCCATGGCTCATTTTTCCCTTGCAGTTTGTCCTGGTGGCTGAGCCTCACCCCCACACCTATTGGTGCATCCGGAAGATTCCCTGACTGGTCAAGAGCCAGAGGAAGAAGAGACCTGGAAGTCCCAACATGGGGACCAGAGCTCCCCAGCCAGCCTCATAGTGAGGAAAGCAGTCAGATCGCCTTCCCCATCAACCACAGGGATACTTCAGGCAGGGCCCCCATAGTATGGAGGCTGAGGGCCTCTGCTGACCCTCAGTGCCCCCCACTGCCCTCCACACCTGACCAAAGCTGGGTCAGTCATGCAATGCTAAGCAGTAGGATAGGCCTAGGGGCAGTTTGCCTCACTACAGGGCAAGGATTGTGGGCATCATGGAGGTGTGTGTGAGTGGAGCTCCTGGGTGAGACCTAGCCCCCACCCCCAGGAGCTCAAAGGGGGTGGGGGGGCCTAGGAGAGCATGGCTCAGGGTGCAGTGGGGGCAGAGGAGGCCTCCCTGCGCTCAAACGCGCTGTCCTGGCTGGCCTGTGGGCTCCTGGCACTGCTGGCCAATGCCTGGATCATCCTCAGCATCTCGGCCAAGCAGCAGAAGCACAAGCCACTAGAGTTGCTGCTGTGCTTCCTGGCGGGCACACACATACTCATGGCGGCTGTGCCCCTCACCACCTTCGCTGTGGTGCAGCTACGGCGCCAGGCTTCCTCCGACTATGACTGGAACGAGAGCATCTGCAAGGTCTTTGTGTCCACCTACTACACACTGGCTCTAGCCACCTGTTTCACGGTCGCCTCACTCTCCTACCATCGCATGTGGATGGTGCGCTGGCCTGTCAACTACCGCCTCAGCAACGCCAAGAAGCAGGCGCTGCACGCTGTCATGGGCATCTGGATGGTCAGCTTCATCCTCTCCACGCTGCCCTCCATTGGCTGGCACAACAATGGCGAGCGTTACTATGCCCGTGGCTGCCAGTTCATAGTCTCCAAGATTGGCCTGGGCTTTGGTGTCTGCTTCAGCCTTTTGCTACTCGGGGGCATTGTCATGGGGCTAGTTTGTGTGGCCATCACCTTCTACCAGACGCTGTGGGCCCGGCCCCGGAGGGCTCGGCAGGCCCGGAGAGCAGGGGGTGGGGCCAAGGGGGGTGGGCCAGGGGGCTTGGGTACTCGGCCAGCCTTTGAGGTGCCAGCCATTGTGGTGGAGGACGCCCGAGGGAAGCGGCGGTCCTCACTGGACGGCTCCGAGTCGGCCAAGACGTCCCTGCAGGTCACCAACTTGGTCAGCGCCATCGTCTTTCTCTATGACTCACTCACAGGGGTGCCTATCTTGGTGAGATTGGGGTCCCGCCAGCTGCTCTCCCCAGTGTCCCCAGGCCCAAGCACAGTCACATGAACTCCACCTGTATCAGCCCTACAGCAGTTTCATCCTTCTCCTTCCTCTCCACTACCCATTCCCACTCCACCTGTGAGCCTCATCTCTGTTGTCCAGCTCCTATTCCCATTACCCCCAACTCCATCATGTTTTCCAATTCCCACTACTCAACCCACTCATCCACCCTTAGCTACACTACGCACTCTCCAGCTCCATCATCTCTCCTGGGGCTCCATTATTCAGCCCCCTGGACCTATCATCCAGCTGTGGGGCTCCCCTCTCCCATTCCCTAATTCCCTTTGGATACCACAGGGTCTGTGATCACTCCTGGCTGGAACCCTCTGGAAAGCTCACCCTAACACCCCAGCTTTCTGCATCCCCATCTGGTCACTACCCTGGAATTTCTGTCTTCAAGTTTACTGCACCACCTCTGCTCCTCTTCCTCCGGACCCCAGGGCTTTGTCTCCAGTATCCTTCCCTGACTTTCCTCCAAGTCGATCACTTCCCCTCTATTCATCTGTCTCCACCTCCAACCTTGCCTCCACATGATCCTGTGGGACCCTGGCCATCCGTTCCTGACTTCGTGCCCACCAGCTGCTCTAGGCTATCGGATCTGGGCTCAAGTGGGCCCTCTGACTCTGGCCCCTGACCCGGCGCCATTCCCCATCCTCCTGCCAGGTGGTGAGCTTTTTCTCCCTTAAGTCGGACTCGGCTCCCCCATGGATGGTGCTGGCTGTGCTGTGGTGTTCGATGGCTCAGACACTGCTGCTGCCCTCCTTCATCTGGTCCTGTGAGCGCTACCGGGCTGATGTGCGCACCGTGTGGGAGCAGTGCGTGGCTATCATGTCCGAGGAGGATGGCGATGACGGTTAGAGGAGGGACTGGGCTTTTGCTTCCCTGGGCAGTGTGGCTCCCTTTCCTGCCGCTTTCTACCAGCCCTTCTCTGTGTGGGGACTGGCTTCCCTGGAGGGCCCCCTACTGGACAGAATCTGCACCACCCCTGGTGGACTCAGGCTCCCCTTTCCCTGTCAGGCACCCTGATGCACTCAGTGCTTCCTTCTGAACCGGGGGCTCCCTCCACTGGGAATCAGTTCCCCTCTGGAAGCCCACACTGCCCAGCTCTGCTCTATCAGGCAGAGCACTGGAGAAACAGCTGAGTCTTAAATATAAGGAAAGGCTGTGGAACTAAGAGGAGGCTAAGCTTCCTGAGAGATCCCCAGATATAGGGACAACTCTTGGTGGGGGAGTAACTGTTCCAATAAATACGTCTGTATGTATGTATGAGTACTAGGGAGTCAGTATTGAATGCAGCAGGCCCTAGACACTCTCACTTTCCTTTTGGAGCTTACAAATCAGTGAGAACAGAAGGATTGTTGGGGAGCTTAGAAAGGGGGCAGCAGCTTTTGAAGGGGGCTGGGAAGGGAAGTAGGTATTCCTTGCCTGTAACCACTCTGCCCTTTTTCTCTCCTAGATGGAGGCTATGATGATTATGCAGATGGCCGAGTGTGCAAAGTTCGCTTTGATGCTAATGGGGCCACAGGACCAGGGGCCAGGGACCCCAGCCAGGTGAAGCTGCTACCTGGAAGGCACATGCTCTTTCCCCCTCTTGAGAGGGTCCACTACTTACAGGTATGGGAACCTCCTATTCTGGGTATCCCCTCACCATTTTCTCCAGTCTGTGATCCATCTGGACCCCCATTCCCTAGCCCTGGCCTGCAGGGCACCCAAAGGGGAGGTGAAAGAAAGGTGTAGCAAGAGAGGCTCCTCTTCAGACCTCTCAAAACCAAGTTTGCCCATCAGAGGCTGTTCTGCGGAAGTTTAAGGGGATGGAATCATCTTGCTTAGTCCCCACTTTGGTTCCTGCCTCTACCCCCTTTGTCCCTGCAGCACCTCTGGGTCTACTTGCTCCTCTCCCCAGGTCCCTCTGTCCCGTCGTCTGTCCCATGATGATACCAACATCTTCTCTACTCCTCGGACACCAGGCTCCTTCCTGCACAAGTGGTCATCTTCTGATGACATCCGGGTCCTCCCGGCCCAGAGCCGGGCCCTGGGAGGCCCTCCTGAGTACCTGGGACGAAGACAAAGGTTGGAGGATGAGGAGGACGAGGAGGAAGCTGAAGGTGGGGGGCTGGCCAGCCTTCGCCAATTCCTTGAAGGTGGGATTCTGGGGTCAGCTGGAGGACCCCCAAGGGGTCCTGGCTTCTTCCGGGAGGAGATCACCACGTTCATTGATGAGACACCTCTGCCTTCTCCGACTGCCTCACCAGGGCCCTCTCCTCGCCGGCCCAGGCCGCTGGGCCCCTCACCCCGCCGACTCTCCCTTGGGTCCCCTGACAGCAGAGTCATTGGACTTTCTCTGGGGCTAAGTGCAGGGAGACGCTGCTCCCTGACTGGAGGTGAAGGGACTACAAGAGCTTGGGGAGGATCCTGGGGCCCAGGTAACCCCATCTTCCCCCAGATGACCCTGTGAGCCTAATCAGGCCTGTGGACTCAGACAGACAAGGGGGCCTGGGTGGGTAGCACCTTGCTCTGGCCCTGGGCCGAGGGCGCTGCCTCCAGACTCCAGGGAGATGGGCACTGGATCTGGGGCCCTGCAGCCCCTGCTGTCTCCCATCCAAGTGACCAGATGCCCTACCCACCTTCCATCATCCCTATCAAAATGTATTAAAATCTGAAATGTTACCACTGAAACCTCTGTATCCAGTGTACTATGGTGGCAAAGGGTGTGGCCCATAGAGGACAAAGTAGAGCAGGGGCAGAGAACAGAGGCGTAGAAATACAGAGAAAGGCACTCAGATTCAGACGTGCAGACATATACAGACAGGCTTCTAAGAACATGAGGGGCAGGGCCCTGGAGACACCTGAGTTTGCTGGTTTGCTGTGCCAATGAGCTTTGTTCAGGTGTGTGGAGTGGTTTTAGAGTGTGACCATCTCACATGCCCCAGCTCTCCTCCTCCCCTCAGGTCCATCTAGAGGCCCACTTTCCGGGCATGAAAGGATTTGGGCCTGACTTGGTGTCACAGGCCTGGAGTTTATCTCCTGTTTTCCAAAAGTGTGTGAGTGGTGGGGGAGTGTGTGCAGGGAGGCACCCACACTCCTTTTCTGGGCCCGAGAGGGGAGGGGAACACAGCCGCAGTAGTCCCTCCCACCCCGTCGGCCTCGGGGGGGTTGGTCAAGGGTCCTTAGAGGCTCCTCACACTGTCGTCCAAAGCTCCAGGCCCCCACCAGCTGCGGCCCTCCACCCTCCTCTCTCCACGGCCTGCTTCTTGTCCCTCAGTAGCCAGCCTGTCTCAAAGAGCGCTTTCCCCACCCTCCGCCAGGCATCCTCCCACCTCTTGCTGCCGTTGGCCTCTGCCAGGGTTGGGTCTTTGACCGGCTCGGCCGCGCTCACTCCTGTCCTTCTCCTCCCTCCCCCCATCTCTCCTTCCTTTCCCCTCCCCCCGGCTTCCCCCTTCTCCCGCTCCCGCATTCCCGTCGGCAGCCGGCCGGCGGCTCAGGCACCATGCTCGGGCTTCTGCGACTGCTGCTACTGCTTCCGCGCCCGGGATCCCCCGAGCCCTCCGGCCTGGCCTCGCTGTCCCCGGGGGCGCCCCCCCAGGCCCCCGACTTGCTCTACGCCGACGGGCTGCGCGCCTACGCGGCCGGGGCTTGGGCGCCGGCCGTGGCGCTGCTGCGAGAGGCGCTGCGGAGCCAGGCGGCGCTGGGCCGCGCGCGGCTGGACTGCGGGGAGCACTGTGCGGCCGAACTGGGGGCCGCGCTCCTGGACGCCCTGGCGCCTGACTCCGGGCCCGGAGGGGTGCAGGGGGCCTGGGAGCGGCTGCTCCTCCGCGCCGCGCTCCGCCGCGCCGAGTGCCTGACCCAGTGCACCGCGCGGAGGCTGGGTCCCGGGGGCGCGGCGCGGCTGCGCGTAGGGAGCGCTCTCCGGGACACCTTCCGCCGCCGGGAGCCCTACAACTACCTGCAAAGGGCCTACTACCAGGTGCGAGAGCAGCCCGGCCGCTTCGTGGGTGCTACCTACCCGGCCCGCGTTGCTGTCCTACTCTGCGCTCGCCAGGAGAGGGCGGAATGCCAGCGCCCAGGACCCGGAGTGCGGCTGGGGTGGCGGGGTGGGGGGCAACGACCTCTCCGTTTGAGTAGGTCCCATCGAAACCACGTCAAGTACCCATGAGGTTGCAGAGGGACAGCCTAAGGGGGATTGTGGGAGCCAAGTTGGAAGGGGGTGGGTGTCACAAGGCGGAGATGGAGGGAAGGGGCCTGAAGTTTTAGTAGGTCTTACTGAGTCCTACGGACGGCACCGCCTATCCCTAGGATGAAGCGTAGGGGCTGCGGGCCAAACCCGCCGCTGGGCAGGAAGTCTTGGGAGCGGGGCGAGTGCAGTTAGGTCAGAGGAGGGGGCCCGAGGGCGCTTCGGGAAGATTAGAGGAAGGGCAAGGCTGAGGGCGGTGCCCAGGGGTGTCGAGGACCGCGGGCTCCGGGCAGCCTCTAGTTCGGTAGCTACTGCCTACGTGGCTGGGGTTTGTGGAGGTGCTGGTCACACACACCCCGCTCAGGGTCCTAGAGACCTGCGGGTTTTGCTGGTCGCTCAGGTCTCCCCACTTCCCCACCTCACTTAGCTATCACTTCCACCTCATCTCCAAAACTGAGCCCCTGAGGACTCTGCCCATATGTCAGCCACCCCAAACTCTTCAGAACCAATTTCTTTGGCTACCAGACTTCTGGAAGTCCCAACATACTGGTTTCTTCGGGATCTGGAGGTTGGGAGGTGGGCAGTTCTGACTGACAAGTCTTCCAGAAGGCTCTCGGACAGTCCCAGGTGTGGGGGTGGGGCAGAGAGGGGGCAGAGCTTGAACATCCCCTGTCGCAGGCAGTGATGCCCTCCTCCTTCCTGCTTCTCAGCTGAAGAAGCTGGACCTGGCAGCATCTGCAGCGCACACCTTCTTTGTAGCAAACCCCGCGCACCTGCAGATGCGGGAAGACATGGCTAAGTACAGACGGATGCCTGGGGTTCGGCCCCAGAGCTTCCGGGACCTGGAGACGCCCCCACACTGGGTGAGACCCCCAGCATGACTTCTGTCCTGCCCCCAGCCTTTGACTGGCTGGACACACAGGCCTCCCCATGTAGCTTGGGCAACAGAATATCTGGGTACTGTCCTCAGTGACCCTGGATGGGGATTCCCTCTCCGGGACTTAGTTTTCTTCCCTGAAGATCACTGAAGGCCCATCTCCCAACATTCTGATTCTGAGGACCACTTTTGTATTCCCCAAGTGAAATCAGGGACCTGGAGTCCATGGCCCAAATGTGACCAACACCCCTCCTCTTCTTCCTACCCCTCAGTCTTGTCTGGCAGCCTCTTCCCCTGGATCTCAGGCTACTGACCACTCCCTCCCCAACAGGCAGCCTATGACACTGGCCTGGAGCTCCTGGCACGCCAGGAGGCAGGGCTGGCACTGCCCAGGCTAGAGGAGGCCCTGCAGGAGAGCCTGGCCCAGATGGAGAGCTGCCGGGCTAGCTGTGAGGGGCCTGAGGAGCAGCAGAGGGAGGGAGAAGAAGAGGGGCCAGGGAGCCAGGGTGGCCTCTATGAGGCCATTGCAGGTACGGAGCTGGGAGCCTGGGATTCATGAGGCCTGGAGGAGCACCACAAGCTGAATGACTCAAGTGTGTTCTCCAAAGGGCACTGGATTCGGGTCTTGCAGTGCCGGCAGCGCTGTGTTGGGGACACGGCTACACGTCCTGGTCGCAGCTTCCCTGTCCCCGACTTTCTTCCTGGCCAGCTGAGACGGCTGTATGAGGCCCACGCTCAGGGTCAGTTGGGAAAGGTTGAGCGCTGGGGGTGACAGGTTGGAAAGGGAAATGAAAGTTTGTCCCTGGTGGTATCCTGAGCCCTCTCTCTCCATCCCTCCACAATGTCTCTGGATCTATAGTTGGTCAGAGCTCCGTAGGGACCATCAGGACGACTCTAATTTGCTCTCCTTTGGCGCCATTGTGGAACACGCACAAGGCTCTCTCTGCCCTTGCTGCTTCTCACGTTCCTTTCTTCTGTCCTCTTACTTCCCTTTGAACTCTGCCCATCCAGCTCAGGTAGGTCTGAGTAAGCTTAGAAAGCAGTGGATGAGCACAGCTGCCAGGTGGGGTGGGGGCTTTTGAGTTGGTTGGCCTTCCACGTTCTCCAGCTCTGCCTTTGTCCCTGTCTCCCTCTGCCTCTGCCTCCGCCCAAGATCCTTGCCATTCTTGGTCTTTGCCCCACCCACCCTATTGCTCTGTCTCCAGTGGGGAATCTGTCCCAGGCTGTGGAAAACGTCCTGAGTGTCCTGCTCTTCTACCCGGAGGATGAGGCTGCCAAGAAGGCTCTGAATGAGTACCAGGTCCAGCTGGGAGAGCCAAGTTCTGGCCTTGGGCCAAGAGAGGTAACCCTCCCGCCTGACTCACTTACCCTGAGGTAGCCCTGAAGCAAACAGATATCCCTGCGAAGTGTATTTGAACTTGGCCCCCACCCCCCATGCTGGTGCTAGCACTCTGGTCACCAAAGGCAGCCAAGTCCAGCATCTGACTTGTCTGCCCTCCCTGCTCCCCACTTCGGACTCTAGTTCTGAGCCAAGTGCCAACCTGCCCCTCTTCCCTTCCCTGTGCTCCTGCGTGCCCTACCGTATGTGCATGCACGGCCCGTTAAGGAGCACGCAGCCTATCCCCTAGAACCCGGGGCTGCCCTGCTCTCCTCCAGCCTTAACTTCCCTGACCCACTTAACTCTTTCTGGCTCACCTCTTCTCCCTGCTGTCTACCCACCTCAGGACATCCAGCGCTTCATCCTTCGGTCCCTGGGAGAGAAGAGACAGCTCTACTACGCCATGGAGCACCTGGGGGCCAGCTTCAAGGATCCAGTGAGTGATGCCCATTCTCTCCACCTCGCCCCTCAGCACTCCCCCAGGAGGGGAAGACAGCAATGCCCTGCATTTATGTGGCACTCCAGTCTGCAACAGGTTTCCCATTTTTCCGCAACCCTGAGCAGCTTGGAGAGGAGCTAACCACCCCAGTGTCTCAGGGACAGAGCCAGGTGCCCGTAGGGCAGGGTGGCTTTGGGGTCACGCAAGCCAAAGTGTCGGTCTCTCCTCTGCCACAGACAAGTTCTGGACCTTCACTTGCCCAGTCTTAGTTTCCTCATACGTGAAATGGGAACAGCCACACCTCTCTTACAGAGCTAGTGAAGCTGTGTCATTTGCTGTGAAGTAGAGAAGGCTCTGTGCCTCTGCTTTTATTACTTTTTGTTGTAGTTATGAGAGGAAACAAGAGGGCAGAAGTTATTCGTAGCTAGGACTGTAACATAAAGCAGGATTGCTCAGCCTTCTTGGCACCATTGACGTTTCTGACCGGATAATTCTTTGCTGGGGAGAAGAAGGAGGATGTCTTAGGCCTATAGGATGGTTAGTAGTTCCCTGACCTCTACCCAGTAGATGTCATAGCACTCTCTGCATCATGGCAATCAAAAATGTTTCTAGAAGTTGCCTGATTTCTCCTGGCAGGCAAAATAATCTCCTTGCTTGAGAACTGCTGCTTCAAAGCATGGACTCTAAAGCTAGCTTGAATCCCAACTCTATCATTGACTAGCTGTTTGGTCTCAGGCACATTAGTTTGCCTCTCTAGTCTGAGTCCTTATGAGTCCTTAATTATAGAATGGGCACAGTAATACTATCTGTT